TATATATATATATATATATATAATCTTTTCTCATTTTCTGACAATAATCACTTCGTCATTATGACATATTTTTCATTCTTTTATTTGTCGAAATAGATAAGATGTGTAGCATTTCCGCAAATTTCGCATTTGATCAAAAAAGTAAGATCATCATATTACAGTAATGTAGGTAATAATATTTTCAAAAATATTACATATTATGTTACAAAAATGTCATGCTAAGAGCTTGAAGCAGATTGATTAATATTAGGTAAGGCTGGATAAGATTAGGTGAATTGGAGTAAATAGTGCTAAAAGTGAAAAATATATAAAAAATATTTAAAAAACATGCATAAGAAAGATCCAACCGTTTGAGAAAAAATTAACCTGTCCGTTGTCTTTTGAAAATCATATTATATGTATCACATTGTTAATTTTATTAAAACAATAAAACTTTTTTACTTATAAATTTTTTACTTATATTTCGATAATATTTAAAAAATTAAAAATTGATTTTTATTAAAGCAGAAATTTATCTCTTTAACGTGTAAGAAAAAATTTATAAAAATTACGGATATTTTATTTTGATTTATTCTACAATTGTATACATTCTATAATATCTAAAATTTATCAAAATTGGAGGTCACTTGCGTACTTTTTGTTAGATAAGGAAAACAACTTTAACTACACAACTTTGACACACAACTGACAACTTTTAAATAATGAAAAATACATAAATGTATTTTTCATTATTTAAAAATTTATCATACCAATTTTATTAATATTGCCATACTCATAATATGTGTAGTAACTAGTAAACTTATAAATGCTTGATAATTTTCATTACTTTATCTCTAACGTAAAAATTCGTTTTGCATAGGTTGTTTTGTTTTATTCAATTATAACAATCCTATAATCTTAAGTATAACAATTCTGTTTTCAATTAGATTATATGTATATATATTTTTTATGTATTTGCATATTGTATACGAAAAATTTAATGTATAATTAACCGTATTGTTATTATTGCATTTTAATAATATGTTTTAAATAGAGTCTGCCTTAATAATGCACCTTGCATTAGCTTAAAATACGATAAACATTCAACAAATTAAAATAAAAATATTACTTGTAAATAAAGTCTTTTAGATGATAAACTGTACAAGCTTACGTCAGAATTGATATGTATCGTACATTTTTACATAAACACAATCGAGTTTTTCTTAAAAAACAAAAATTCTATCATGATATTGTGGTAAAAACAATTTCACACTGAAGTTGTGCTCATAGAGTTTTGGTATTAGTGATCATAAACTTTTGCGATATGCAACCTTTTTTCTGGTTTTATTATAATATGTCGCTGTCGTTCACATTCATATTAGTATTGATATTTTTAATAAATATCAATATTCAATTTTGTCAAGGTAATTATTTAAGTTTTAAATATAAATTTACTTAAACCGCTTATGTTTGTAAATTATAAAGTTTTTCATTTAGTTAAGAGAACCATAATTAATCTTAAAAAATTGTAAAAAATGTAATTTTGAAAGGATTAATTTGATAAAAGAAGAGGGTCCATAGTCGTATCTGAATTTTATTTTAAAAGATGAAAAATGTTTTATTATTATATGAACTTTTGAAATCAGATGTTAGCTAAGACGGATGTTTGTTTATTCTATATATTGTATATTATATAATTTTTTTGAAAAGCAATTCTGTTTTTCTTACAATCAATTTATTTGATTATTTTGTGCGTACAAGTAAAAGAATTTTTGTTTTTAACAGAAACACGATTGTGTTTATATAAAAATGTACAATACATAATTCTGACATAAGCTCGTACGGTATCATCTAAAAGTATATTAATGTCCGATGAGTAAAAAATTAAGTAGTTTTCAAATTATATTTTATGCCAAATATGCCAGAATGAAGTATCAAAATTTCGTAATTGACTTTTTGTATAATTGTATTTTAATACTTTTATGTGCAAAATAATTAAAGGAATTATATTATGTAAAAAATCATGTAATTTCATTTTAAAAATGGCGATAACTTTTATATGACTTTCAAAACTGATTTTTTAAATTTAGTATTATAGTAAATTTTAATTTTAGTATTATATGTTCTCTTCCAAATCATACATTTTTGTCTGAAACATCTTTTTGTAAATGTAGGAAAAAGACTGGTGTAAAATAAACATATAATTATTTTTCAAAAACTTTACACAATATATAGGATAAACAGACTTAAATACGTCCGTTTAAACTATAATCACTTGATATCAATAATTTTTATAAAAATCTCTGGATTATTATATTGAATAGGGCATTGGTGGCGATCAAAAAATCCATCTTCAACACGGAATTCTCTACAGAAATTATCAACGCCAGGAGAATGTTTGCGAGAATGTCGAGATAATGAAAAACCGAAATATTGTTATTATTACTTTGTCCTTGAATATTATACGACAAATAATTAGTATGTATTCATGTATTTATATGCTCTTTTACATACATACACACACACAAACACGCGCTTAACATAGTTTCATATAATATAAATAAAAAATTGGGAAAAATTTGAGTTGTTACATAGAGAATTACAAGAAGTTTATGCATTTTAGGCGATTTGGGAAGCACGTGGGGAATGTTAGGTTCATCTTTTTTCATATTTAATTTCACTTGCTGAATCCGAAAATTGTAGTTAAAATTGTCTTAGTATCCGGAAAATATTTTTTTTCACATTTTAAATAGAAAAAAAGCAACGGTTGATTTAATCACTTTGTTGAACCATGTCTGCGAGTTTCTTTTTGTTCGTATCAAAATATGTTTTGATATTATCTAAGCCCTTATTCTTTCTCATCAGGGCTTAAAAATCTGCAAGTTATCTTAAGTTTATGTACATTTTAAGTTTTGCATCAAAATATTTCGAAAATTATAAAAGATGCGGAAAAATGTTTCAGATAAA